ATCGAAAAAAATTCATTTTTTTTAAACCACACATTTTTTTCAAAAAAACATTATTCCAAACATTAAAATTTGAAAAAAAAAAAAAACGAAGGCCAAACAGGGGCATAATCTACAAGTTAACATACCGTTTCGTGGTGGAGGTGCTAACATACCATTGGACAAGGGGGGTGGCGGCGGAGGTTGATTTGGATCACGTCTAAGTTTACAGCAATCTGTTCCAAAAAAACGTGGCGAAAAATGGATTGAACAAACTCGAATAAGAATTAGGTAAGTAAGATGTCACCATCTTTCTTATTCAATATAACTTACCAAGCATACTTAGAAAGTCAAAATACATAATTAAAATAAGATTATACTAATAGTGAATAAAAAGAATAGTCAAAAATAAATAATAAAAAGAGACTATGAATCTTACATTGGTTGACACAAGCTAACCCGGTCAAATTTAATAAATTGGTGAAGCCATCAAAGCATTGGCAGTAGTGAGACGTTCCATTTGCAATGCAGGTTCCATCACCACACCAAACAAGATTACAAGCTGTGAACCATTAGAATTTTCATTCATGCATTAGTTGATAACATCGTTGAAGTATAATTTTGTGCAAAAGGAAAACAAAAGTGATTCATGAAATTTACGGTCGGTAAAATTGATTGGTGGCAGGGGCAATAGTGGAGGAGTCGGAGGTGGCGGAGCCCCATTGCCACATTGAAAATTAAGTGCACCTGCATATAATTCATTGAAACTGGTAGTTACAACATGCAATTGTGTTATATGTATAATTACCTATATTTATACACTAGAAGGCCACTCTTTTAAGAAATAATTAGTCATTTGATTCTCGAGATAATGATCAGCCACATTGAGTTTGAGACATGACTCAAACTCCTACTAGAGGCGACAATGAGAGAATTTTTGTAACAGACAAAAGCTTGACACAACAATTCTGAGGTAGAAGGCTCATAGTTTGTAACTTCTTTTCTTGATAAAAAGCAATGACATTTTCTGGAGATTAAGTGCCGGTTAACTCTGTGCCAATAGTAGGGATGCAAAAAAAGCCGTTCAACTCGATACCCATGAGGCTCCATTTAAAATGGAGCGGGAATCACTTACCGAATCGAGAAAACGGGGCAAGCGGGATGGAGGTCGTTGCTCGAAGCGCGTACAAAAAACATGATCCCCGCCCCGCTATTCGACTCGTATAAAGTTAATTTCAAATTTAAGGTTTTTATCAAAAAAAAAAAAAGATTTATCATCATTTTTAAAGAAAACATAAGTTGTTCTTAAAAAATAGAAAAAAAATAATGATATTCACTAATTAAAGATAATAAAAAAGGCAAAATAAACAAATAAATAAATAAATGGGGTCAATAAATGTGGTAGGAGACATGCCTCGAACCCATCATGTCCCGCTTTAACTGGGTATGGGGGTGAGAAGTTAACAAAAATACTCAACAAAATGGGGGACAGATATGGTCGATCCATCCCGTTCCCATCCTTAGTCAATAGTTACGGCAAGCTTATTCGGAATGATTGGGAGGAAAACATCTTGAAATGACTTTTCAAGTTCAACGCCAAATCTAATGGCTCACTTTGGACATTCGGCAAGAGCAACCAAGGTAGGCCGCAAAGAAAATTTCTGGTGAAGTGATTAACCAAAAAAAAAAAAAAAAAATGCCAACAGAAGCTTCTTGATATTTTTAAGACCTCAAGAAATTTAATTATATTTTACATTCTATCAAGCCATTTTAATATAACTATTTTGGAATCATCTTTTAATATCCTAAAAGGTGAAAGCCGTTAATCATTTGTTTAATTTCCATTGTAGTCAAAATATATTTTTCTCTTTCTTTTTTTCAATCACACATTCTTCAATAAAATAATATTATACGTAAATCCAAAATTTTTCCTTATTTTTTCACCATACATTCTCCATTCAAATCATTATTTCAAAATGCATTCTTTGCAAATAAATAAATAAAAGGAGCATCAAACAAGCAATAAATATGTAAATACAATTATTTGAGTTTAACATGATATTTCATGATTAGTAAAATTTCTTGAATGGTTGTTCAAATGGATTGTGCTAATACTTTTTAATGAAGGTCACCCTCCTTTTGTAGTGATTGTTTCATTCAATAAATGAGATAGGGATCAATATATCAAACTCACATTTAAACATCAATGAGTTTCACGAGATTATGAAATTCGCAAATCTAACAAACAATGCTCTCAAATAAATTCATATACTCACAGTTGGGGAAAGCACATGGAGAAAATGGCACAGGAAAAATCCTATTCCAGTCGGGGGAACATATACACTCATATCCTGTAATTGAATTATTTGAAGCTATGCATAATCCTATTCCACAATCCACATTTTTGCAAACATCTGTACCTAAACACATAAATAAAAAAAAAATAAAAAACCTAAATTAATAACGAAAAATCAAACATGAAATAATACCAATCATAATTGCATATATACCTTGTTGAATCGAAGTCTGAAAGATAAAAAGAAAGAAGAAAAGAAGAAGGAGAAATGGAGTAAAATTCGAATTATAGTTTTCCATGCTTTTAGGAAATGTAATGTAATTAGAGAAAGAGAGACTGAAACAAATTTTATATATAAGGTATTGTAATGTATTCAATGCATAGTAATCTGAGTTGGGGCTTTGTAATTCACTCCCTGGACGAAACTTGTGAGGTAAATTATAGCCAGAGTCCTTAACCTTTGACCATATTTGCAATCACGTCTCTAAACTTATTTTTCGGACAAATGGATATTCAAAGCTTCAATTAATTGGCTGCAACAGTTGTAAATAGAATGAAAAAACAAATAAAATTTGTATTGTCCATTGTAGTAGCTAATATACTTCCTCAAGTGTAGACTTGATTTTCTGATCCACAACATGATTTTGGACTCTTAACCTTCAAAAGTAAGTTTCTGAGTCCACAACCTATTTAATTTTATGGAATTGGATCCTACCTGAAGGTTTTTTATCATTTTTTTTTTTTGGGTTAAAGTACCAAATTGTGATGACTAGCACTGAGTTGTAAAGTCAGAATATTCAATACTAATTAGATGAGTCGATTTTTCCAATATTGCCACAGACAAAATTGAGTCAAATCATTAATTGTTGGCCGTCTTCAGTTCAATATACGAACTGTTAAATTGCAATTAAGATATTCGTTTGTAAAGTGTGAGTTCGGTTAGTTTGCAAATGTTAGTTTCGTATCAGCCCTTCAAATAAATTCACTTGTACTAGTGAAATTTTTAAATAAAAATATTAATTTAGTTTTCAGTAAATTATTTGTTTGAATTTGAGCTTGTATTTTGTTCATAAATCGACTTGATATTATAAATCGGGTATTTAAATTGTTGAGCACGGAAGATTCGATCTAAAACTTATTGTCCACAATTGGTAAACAAAGACGAACATTTTATTTTAATAAGATTATCTCTATTTTATTAAAGTGAAATAATTGGATAACATAGTACCTTAATTCTAAGTGGGTAGTGAACTGTGATTACTAACTTGAAACTTTTTGAGGTATAAACGAGTGAGATTAAATTACTAATCAGTATCTCGGCGCCTTGAAAATTAAAGTGAAATAATTGGATAACATATATTCGTAGCATAGCATCTGTAATCTATTTAATAGGCACGATTATGATCTCAAGAGATTTTCTAGTGAACAATTAAATTTGAGATCAGTAATTCGACATTGACTATTGAAATAGTATTGTGATGTGATCATATGAAATAGTGAGGTAAAAAATGAGATCAAGGATTTAATGTATATTTAAAAAGGGGTATTTTGGTCATCTTACCTTGTTCCGAATATTCTACATGATCAATGGGGGTAACATGTAAGAATAATATGTCAGAGGATATAATTATTGTTTATGTAGTTTCAGTAATTTCACTTAAGTGCAAATCTCATTCTTTTAGTGAAATAGAACGCAATTGATAAATTATCTCGACCAAACAAGAGTGGATCGAGTCAATATTGATTTGTTGGAGCTTAATTTAATTTGGTATGCTTTGTCCCTTCAGTGGCTTTAAATAAGAACCGAAATAAATTATAGGAGTTACAATATATCATTAACTGTAGAAGGATAAATTAATCAAATCATAATGTATCATGCATGTGCAATTTAAGATATAGAATATTTTGATTTGGATAAGAAATAAAAGAGCTTTCTTCTTTCTTTTTTTTTTCTTTTTTTGTTTAGTATCTTTATCTAAGCGAAAGAAATAGATTTTTTTTATCAGGTTAACTCCTAAATTCTAGCAATCAGCATCGAATAAGCCAATTAAGACTATTGTATATTTAGAGCAAATCGAGATTAGATGAACAAAGAGAGCTTAGGAATTCAACTCCTAAAGATGTCCAAACATCCGTGATTAGTGATGCAGCTTCTACTCCGATAACTAGTATGCGCATGCCCTTTCCGCTTGTCCTCTTTTGCCCTACTCGAATGGGGATCACTACTCTCATAAGACAACTATGATCGGGCAATATCGTAGATACAGTAGAGCTCGCAAAAATTTTTGATGGTGAATCACAAATATTGAACAAGAAGACTTAAGGATGGAATCATGAAGATCAAAGATTAAGGAATTTCGTAAAGCGCACTACAAGGATAATCCTGAAGCATCTATGTGTTTATTAATTTCCATAATTATATTATTCTTGTCGATACATAATTTAGTAAAATCCTTAATTTTTTTTTCCAACAATTGATATTAGAACCTTGGTTTTGACATTATTTTGTGTATGAAGAATTAAATAACTTTTGGGATTATGCATGCATTAGTAAAGGGTAGTGTTAGGATTATATGATTTATTTTGTTATTGGATGAATGTTGCTATATTGAACAAATTTATGACCTTAGAATTTTGTGGTGATATCACATATTGTCGAATCGAGTCATGTAACAAAGGCGTAGATTATGACTCTTTGTTTTCCCCTTGTATTTTGATTTTTGTTTCTTGGTTGGGGTTGCTATTGCAGTCTTATATCAGAGGACCTGTTCTGCAATTATTAATCTGAGTACTTAAACTGCAATTTGGACTCGAGAATTTAAGCTGCAAATTTTATTTCAAGGACCGAACTTCATCTTCTCAAACGAGATGAAGGACCTGTACTACAAAATTTGCACAAAAATCAGAAAAAGAGAAGAGATGATGTGTGGTGACGGTGTGGCAGCACCTGCTGTCGCCGCTACTTGTGCGCAACAGCGACCCCTTCGAGCACTGCGTTTCATGCAAATCATGATGGCAGACCTCAGTGCGGTCGTCGTCCCATATAGCAGCGGCACTTTGGGCGCTGCTGCTGTTGTATGAGAATCGCGGTGGCGGTGGTCCCAAAGTGACGTGCCGATGTCCATCGGTGATTTATAACATTTCCCTGCGCTTTCTTTTGTTTTTCGACAATGGTGTTCTTGGGCAGCAAAGTGTCGTGGCTGTGATTGGCGAAGCTGCAGATTATGGTTGGTAAAAGTTCAATTGGGCCAGATTTTGACTTGGGCCTTGTATTGAGAAATGGGCCGTAATTATAGAATTAGTTAAGAGAAAATTACCTAAAAACCTACATTTAAAGTTTTATCTTGATAAATTGGGTGTTAATTGGGTTTCATAATTAAAATTAATAAAAATCTAATTACACCTAATATACATATATCACCCCGCTCCCAGCCAACCTATTTCGTCTCTTTCTCTCTCTTCACCCCACCCCTCTTATTCTATTCACTCAATATGAGGATCTTTGACCATTTTGTTTACCACAGTTTGGTTGAGGCGGTGGATCATAGGTGGCTCCATCAGTATTGGCTCTTCGATCTCCGAACACCAACAACGAAGGAGATGCATCGAACGATGTGCTGGTATCAAGGGCTACTGAGATTCTGCAGCAACATCATCGGGCAACGCTAATTCCAACTCTGTGAATAGTGAACGATGACACTACAGTCCTTCTATGTTGACCGGTGCATACAGTCCTCCATCGCACTGTAGTACTTCATCGTGAAACTGCAATCCTTTGAAGTCGACTTGAGTTTTTTGGGTGTGACGGTGGTGTGGTTGGATGCGGTGGGTGTGGGTGTTGTGGTGTTGGCAGCGTAGTGATGGCACTGTCGTTGTTTAGTGGTGTTTAACCAGTTGTGCAGATATGGTATGTGGTGGGTTGGTGGGTTCAGATTTGGTTGTGGGGGTGGTGATAGTATGTGGTTGGATGCGGTGGTGGTGGGTATGGATGCTCTGGGTGCACATGTTGGTTGACGTTGGGAGTGGTGGTAGTATCGAAGTGATAATGACGACGAAAATCAGGTCTTTTTCTTTTCTTAGATAAAAATTTGAGGGTCTAATCAATCTTTTATTTGATCCTCATTTTTTTAAAAATATAGTTTTCCTCAAATTCATTTTCAATATCACATTCTTCCAATAAAATAATTTTACGCATAAACACAACATTTCTTCGTACTTTTTAACAACATTTTTTTCGATAAATTACTACTACAAAATATATTCTCCCAACACAAATTTAAAAGATGGCAAGTAAAAAAATCATATATAAAACCAGATAACTCCTCGAGCATTTGAAGACGCCGTTCGATCCTATAACGTAAAAATGAATTAGCATTAATACATATTATTAAAGCCCGCCCAATAAAATTCTGTTCACAAAAATAAAAGCCCATCCTAATTTATTTAGCGTTTGGGCGGAGTTATAGCATTCATTTGGGTCGGGTTATTTATATGGGCTAGTTGTTAGAGTCCAATCATATTTGTACAGTTGAATTCGCACTGAACGAGCCAAGATTTACTCTAGGGTCATTGCTGTGGCTTGCTTAGTCCAGTCAGGTCAAGTTGGGCTAATCACACAAACCATTCATATTCAGGTTGTTCCGGTTTATGTTAAACTTCTTACTGGTAATGACTTGAGATTTATTCTCATGAATTTTATTTATATAAATATTCATATAATTTACAAGTTAACATACCGTTTGATGGTGGCGGTCGATTCGGACCAAGGCCAAGTTTATTGCAATCCGCTTCAAAGAAACCTGGCAAAGATTGGATTGAACAAACTCGAATAAGAATTAGGTGAGTAAGATGTCACCACCTTTCTTATTCAATATAACTTACCAAGCATGCATAGAAAGTCAAATACACAATTAAAATAAGATTATACTGATAGTAAAAAATAAATAATAAAAGAGACTATGAATGTTACATTGCTTGACACAAGGTAACCCGGTCAAATCTAATAAATTGGCGGAGCCATCAAAGCATTGGCAGTAGTGAGACGTTCCATTTGCAATGCAGGTTCCATCCCAACACCAAACAAGATTACAAGCTGCGAACCATTAGAATTATCATTCTATACATTAGTTGATAACATCATTGAAGTATAATTTTGGGCAAAAAGAAAAAAAAAATGATTCTTGAAATTTACGGTCGGTAAAATTGATTGGTGGAAGGGGCAATAGTGGAGGGGCCGGAGGTGGCGGAGCCCCGTTGCCACATTGAAAATTAACTGCACCTGCATATAATTCATTGAAAC